GCACTGTGCTGCATCCCTGTGTCCCCCCCAGGATGTCCCCACCCCTGTTCCCACCCTGCAGGGCACTGTGTTGTGTCCCTGTGTCCCCCCAGGATGTCACCAGCTGTGTTGCTTCCCGACAAAGCCCCGCTGTGTGTCCCCAGGGGGAGCCTGGCCCACAGCTCCCGGTGTCCCCGGGGACTGGATCCCAACCCCTTCAGCTCCTGCTCCCTCCTGGCTCCAGGGAAGGACAAAAGGGGCTGGTGAGGCAGAACTGGGAGCAGTGGGATCACTGGGAGCTTGCTGGCAGGGGGGTGTGTCCTGTCCCCACCAGGGCCACCCAAGGTGGGGTCCCCCAGGTGGGTTCACCCCTGGTGGGGGCTGTGCCCGGCCGAGGCTCGGGGTGGGTCTCCAGGCACGTGCCCCCCGTGTCCCTGTGCCAGCCAGGGGTTCCCCGTGGGCAGGGCCCCCCCGGGCAGGGCCCCGCAGGGTATATTAGTGCTTTCCTTTTTTTAATCTCGCTATTTTCTTACAGAAGCCCCTCCTCCCTTGGCATGACGGTCCTAGAGGCGTTTGTTAACGGATATAAGCAGAGTATAGGTTTATAAATTCTTATAGAGTTAGTGGAAATATTTTTATCCCTCCACAACTGTTCTCAATAAATAACGGCTGACCCGGCTTGTCTGCAACCCTGAGTGGCTTCTGCACCAACACCCCACATCCCTGGGCATCCCACATTCCCACATCACTGGGCATCCCACATTCCCACATCCCTGGGCATCCCACATCCCTGGGCATCCTGTGTCCCTGGGCACCCCACATTCCCACATCCCTGGGCATCCCGCATCCCTGGGCATCCTGTGTCCCTGGGCACCCCACATTCCCACATCCCTGGGCACCCCACGTCCCTGGGCTGGCAGGGTCTTGCCCCGTGGCCTCTTGTTCTCAGTTCCTGTTTCCTTGGCAAAGGCTTAAAACAGATATTGGGGGGTTTGTGCTGCACCCACAGGGACACTCAGCTTGGGGAGGGGTGGCAGAGCCCTGTGGGACACCCTCTGGGGATGAGGGGGCACAAGGAGGGGGTGCCCCCATCACCTGCTGCTGGCTCGTCCCCCTCTCCCATGGCTTGGGGTGCTGCTGGTGTTGGGGTGTGATGGGAACTGGGGGGGCAGAGCCCGAGCCAGGGTGTGGAATTGCCCTCCATGTGCTGCCCCGGGCACCCCTGTGCCCCTGCCAGCGGGGTGAGCCCTGCCAGGAGACACCATCAGTTCCTGTGCCCAATTGCCACAGCCTGGCTTGCCCAGGAGCAAGTGGGGTGGAGGGGTGGGCAGAGCACACCAGGATGGATGAGCTGCATCTCCACCTGCCTCCCAGTGGGCATCGTCCACCTGCACCCTGTTATCCCTTCCTGCACCCCATTGTCCTGCCCTGCATCCCAAGATACCCCCTGCTCCATGACCCTACCCTGCTCCCTGCTCTCCTCCATGTTTTGGATCCAGCCTGGCACAGGGTGGGGTGTCCAACAGCCCAAATCCCACTGGGAAGCAGATGCTCCCAGCCCTGCTGTGCCTGGCTGGGTGTGTGTCATGGTTTAAGCCCCCCCAGGTTCATGGCTGTGTCCTTTCTCTGGGCTAAAGTGGCCAAAGCACTTCCCAGGGGTTGCCCAGGTTCCTTGGCAGAGCCGAGGCCAGGCTGTGCCCTTCCCTGCCCTCTGCACCACCCAGGACACACTGGATTGGGTTTTCCACCATGGTGAGGGTGCAGCTGATGGGCTGGAGGGAAGGGGGCACCCAGTGGGGCTGTGAGAACCTCAGCAGGGCCAACCAGGCCAAGGGCAAGGGCAGGGACCAGGGGCAGGGCGATCCCCAGGGCCAGCACAGAGTGAGGGAGGGATGGGTGGGAGGGTGGATGAATGGATGGAGGGATAGATGGATGGATGATGGGTGGATGGATGGATGGAGAGGTGCCTGCTGAGAAGGACTGGGTATTACTGGTGGGTGACAAACAGGACATGACCCATCCACGGGCACTGGCAGCCCAGAGAGCCAAGTGTGTCCTGGGCTCACCCCCAGCAGTGTGGGCAGCAGGGGATGGAGAGGGTGCTCCCCCTCTGCTCCACCCTCCTGAGACCCCCCTGGAGCTGCCTCCAGCTCTGGGGGCCCAGCACAGACAGACATGGCCAGGAGGCCACCAAAACGGCCCGAGGTGGCCCACGGTCCCCACCCTAGAGAAAAGCTGCCTGTGGGGAGCTGCCAGCCCCACCCCCTGCCTGCTGCACCTTCTGCCCTTGCTGAGGGTCAGGGCTGGGCCAGGACAGCACCTCCCTGGGGTCCTTCCCTCCTTTGCCTGTGGCTGGGGATGCCAATTCCTGCTGCTCACCAAGCCCCATCATCCCAACCATTAACCCTCCTGTCAGCAACATGGAAATGGGGGAGCTTCCTGGGGTGGAAGGAGCTCCTCACCCCAAAGGCTGGGCTACAGGAACCTCCCACATCCCACCCTTGCAGCTCCAAGATGGATCCCCTGCCTGCACCTCCCTCCCTAGAACAGCCAACAGAGCCTCTGCTTTGGGCCCCTTTGGCCTCAGACCGGCTGATTTATCCAGTTCCACTTCTCCCCAGAGCATAAAACCCAGTGCTGAGGCTCCAGCGACAGCCCCAGCTGTGCCTACCCTTCGTTCCATCTGATTTTCATCACACCTTTAAAAATAAAAAGTCCCAAACCCACTCAATCCCAGCCTTCCCAAGGCAGAGATATTTCCACATGGCAAATACTTCCATTCCCTGATGTCCTATTTTAGTTTTCACCCCAGTGCTGGCACTGGTTGAAGACATCCCTGCTGGAGCTCCAGCCAGGCTGGGAGGGAGGGAATAAGGGTTTCTTAGGGCTGGAAAGGAGATCTCTCACCTCCTCCCCTGGGCTGTGCCACCCACGTCTGACACCCAGTGAGACCTCAAGTGGTGTCAGCCCTTCCCTTCCCTTCCCTTCCCTTCCCTTCCCTTCCCTTCCCTTCCCTTCCCTTCCCTTCCCTTCCCTTCCCCTTTTCCCTTCCCCTTTTCCCTTCCCCTTTTCCCTTCCCCTTTTCCCTTCCCCTTTTCCCTTCCCCTTTTCCCTTCCCCTTTTCCCTTCCCCTTTTCCCTTCCCCTTTTCCCTTCCCCTTTTCCCTTCCCCTTTTCCCTTCCCCTTTTCCCTTCCCCTTTTCCCTTCCCCTTTTCCCTTCCCCTTTTCCCTTCCCTTCCCCTTTTCCCTCCCCTCCCCTCATTTATTCCTTACATTATTAACAATATTTTCCCCTATGGCAGACCCCCCTTCAGCCCCACATTTTCCCCACTCCTTTCCAAGGTTCTCCCTCTGGCTCCTTCCCCCCTCTCGTACCTCTTCTCCACCTGTCACATCCACTCCCGGCGCCGCCTCTCCGGGATCCCGGGGAGCCAGGAGCAGTCCCTCCGATTGCACCCGGCGCCGTCTGCGTGCCCGGGAGCTGCCGGCTGGGGGGTGACAGCCCTTCCCTCGCCTTGGAAACGTGAGGAGGGCTGGGATGCGGTGTCTGAACGCATCCAATGGATGCTCCTGATGGCGCAGGTACAGCCCTGGTGACTCCGCTCACAGCTGGGGGAGATCAGAGAGGTGAAAACCCGGTGCTGTGGTTGTGCTGCTGCTCTTCCCCTCCTTTAAGGGCAGCTGAAACATCCCAGAACTACCTTCCAGCTGGAAAATGGGCCACAGAGCAAATCCTCCATCCAGCTCTGGCAGAGAAAAGCCTTCAACACCTTTGTGGCTTCTCTGTTCCCCACGGCCAGAGTGGGAAAACCAGACCACGAGCTTGGAACCTTCCTCAGGCTGGGAGAGCTGGGGGGTTCATCTGGAGAAGAGAAGGCTCCAGAGAGACCTGAGAGCCCCTTCCAGGGCCTAAAGGGACTCCAAGAGAGCTGGAGAGGGACTTGGGACAAGGCATGGAGGGACAGGACAAGGGGGAATGGCTTCCCACTGCCAGAGGGCAGGGTTGGATGGGATATTGGGAAGGAATTCCCGGAGCTTCCTAGAAAACACTCAAGTTGTGCTGTGTTTTGAAAATACAATTCCCATTGCACATGAGACCCACCAAGAACATTCTGGGTGACCTGCCAGCGTGCTCAGGGGGTTGGCAGAGCCAGCCATCCCCCCCCAGTGATGATACCACCAGCAATGGCAGCACAAAGCACAGAGCCCAGGCTGCCAGAAATGGCAGTGAAAGGCTGCTCTGATGCTGATATTCCCCTGGAAGTGGCCCAGGTGCCACTGTCCTGGATCTCTGTCCGGAACCACAGGTAGAACCTTGGAGAAACAGCACCATCTGTTTGCAGCATTGCTGCACCAGAGCAGAGGTGACAAGGTGGCCTCCACGGGAGGGTGTCTGTGACCCATGAGCAGGGCTGAGGGTCCCACCCTGGAGCCAAGGGCTTGGTGCAGCATCCTCTGCTGTCCTGGGCCAGGCTGGGGCCCCCTGAGCTCCAGCCCCTCCTGCAGCCCTCAGGTGACACCTGGGGCTCGCCCCGGTTCAGGGTTGTGAGTAGGAGTTACACGGGGTGTGTGCAGGGACCAGGGAGGGGACAGCCACCAGGGGTCTGCAGGGAGGTCAGGCAGCCCCAGGCTGGGGGCTTCAGCTCAGGTTTGGCTCTTTCCAAGGCAGGGTCTGCCCTTCTGCTCCCAAAAACATTCACCCTGAGGGTCACTCGGGTCTCAGCCTGTTCCCCACGTTTCCCCATCGCTGCCTCAGGCAGACACCGGCCCATCGGGGGCCCAGAGCTGGCTGGTGGGGCAGAGGTCCCAAGAAGGTGTTGGCCCCACAGGACCAAGGGGGAGAAGGCCAGCCTGCCCCCATCTTTGCTCCAGCTGGGAAGCTGTGCCCACCCAGCCCATCCCCACCTCTGTGGGGGGAGCAGCCGGGCAAGGGGCAGGGGCTGCCCCCAAACCCAGCTCAGCCCCTCAGTGCTGGGCCCCCCACGTGATCTGGGTGACAGAAGTGACAAAAAGACCACCCATTCCAGCTTTGCCACAGAACTGGGAGGAATGAAGAAGATCTGCTTTAATAAACCTGCTGGGGAAAGGGCACGAGGGGTGGCCTGGGGCTCCCAAAGCTACTTCCTTTTGCGGCGTTTGGTGTTCATCCTGACCAGCTGCTGCCCCTGCTTCTTGATGTCTGCCCGGCTCGGGATGTAGTCCTGCTCTTCTTCTTCCAGATCCAAGGACACTGCAGGGGAGAGTGGAGAAGAGGGGGATGGGAGGCTCTGAGGGCTGTTCCTGCTGTGCTCAAGTCCCTGGCAGAGCCAGCATGTTTTGTTGGGCTGGTGGGACCCCAGAGAGCCCCCGTGCTGAGCACCAGGGCTTTTCCAGCCCAGCACCCCAGAGTGACCTGCAGGACCCAGTGATGGCCCATCTCCAACACTGCTGGGGCTTCCCACAAAGGTCTGGAGCTACAGGGTGGTGGGCACAGCTCCTGCTTTGCTAAAAATGGTGGTGACCTGCCAAAAGCTCTTTGCCTCCTCCAAGAGTGTCCACAGGCAGAGCCAAGTACTGGTTATTCTTCCCAGCCAGGTGATTTTGAAGACAAGGGACTCCCTGCTTGCCCTACAGCATCTCTCCTTGTTCCCACTGTGGCCTGGTGCTCATCATCCCCCATCTGCCTTCCTTCTCCCACAGCCCCACCTCAAACCACCACCCATGCTCAAAGCCCTGGGGACAGCCAAGGTCAGCCCCAGGATCTGGAGGAAGCTCGTGGGTTGGGGTGTGCTGGGACAGTGGGAGGCAGACAAGGACCCCCAGAAGTGCCAGCAGGCAGGGGCTGGGACAGTCACTGTGTCCCCACTGTGCTCTCCTACCGTGGAATGCAGTGCCCACATCCTCAAAGGAGATCTTCAGGTTCTGTGCCTCAGCCGCAGTTGATTTCTCCAGGAGGTTTCTGACCTTCCCAAAAATCTGTGAGAGACATGCTGGGATAAGTGCTGATGGGAAGGTGGGTGTTAGAGCCCAGGGGGTGCCCCACCTCGCTGGTGTGGGGACACCTCACAGCTCCCAGAGCCATCTGGGGCTCAGCTGCTCCGTGGCTCTTCCCTGTGGCCACCTCCACGCTCTGGGTGAGGAAGGATGACTTGGATGGGCAGTGAGAGCCCTGTGTGGGTCCCCAAAGGTACATCAGGGACGGAGGGACGGACCTCACTGTGCTTGTCGTAGGTCTGGGCGCTGGGGGGGCGGTCGGACACCCTCTGCTTCAGGTAATGCAGCTTCTCCTCACACTGCTTGAGCTTCTCCTCCAACCCCACGGGCCGGGGAGAGTCCCCCTGGAGGGAGGGAGAGGGAGAACAACCACCTTGGTGGGGAGAGCGAGCCCCTCGTGGTGGTGGTGGCTGCACCAGGGGTCACCCTGTCCCACCCCACTGGGGCCACGCGGGCACCTGGTCGGGCATGGTGATGCTGTGGAGGTGGACGAAGAGGTTGTCGATGCTGTTCTCAAACTCGATCAGCTGCTCCTGGTTCCTCCTCATCTGCGCCTGCAGCTGCTCCAGCCGGGACTC